TGAGGTGATCCCATGCTAGCTGATATAGACCTTGGGGTGATAAAGGCAGAGGGATAGTGCCTCCTGGGGTGTATGCCAGAGAGAGGAGGAAACACTTCCTCTCTGAAACTACCCCCCACCCCTTGCTTGGACGGGTAGTTTGTATATCCCAGGCACGCAGCTGCGTCCATTTCTCTCTAAGAATTGGCTAGTCCCAAAAGGGCAGTCTGTCCCCCAGCCAGAAAAGTTTTTAAGATGTCAACACATCATAATACATAGAAACAATTTTAGATATAAACAATGTAGATGTAAAAATGCAGAGATGAGGTAGGAGAATTCCAAGCAGGTTTAATGTCAACCAAGGCCAGAGAAGGGGAATATTTGGTATACCAAGACAAGTGCTTCTGGTCCAATTTGGCTAAGGCGTATTGGCATTTAAGAACTTTAGGAATGAGAATTCGTATTCCATGGGAACTTGGGAATTATTGAAAGAGAACAATAGCACTAGCCCTGCTGTTTAGAAAGGTTCCATTTCTTTCCTAGCAGTGGGGTGACTGATCTGGGGCCCTGTTCCAGTAAAAACAGAAACATTAGTCTGCTCAAATCAAAAAGAAACCACCCACTTGCTGTCAGCCATGTTCTCTGTCATGGTCCTCTCTCATTTTCTTAATGATTGATCATTATTCTTGTTCAGGGGTGAACTGGGTTTTTATTAGGATGACTTTATCTCTAGGTCTTAGTTTTTCTTGCTTCTACTGTTCTTTTTAAAGAGAAGTGGCCTCAGTAGGGACTTCCACAGAACTTTGGAAGACAACGCTGTTTTCTGAAAGCAAAGAAACAGGGAGGCACTCTCCATTCTGGGCAGAGTAATGAGTCACTTATTTCAGTGACCCTAGGAAAACAGAGCCTAGTATTGATTTGCTTTTAGCAAAGATATATTTAAATAAATGAAAAGTGAAGACCTAAATGAAGTAACTTTATTCATCACTAATTTGGGACATGTTTTCTTTTAAGCAGGAGCTATGAGAGATCAATGTAATTATTCATATTTAACAACTATAGTACATTTTATTTTACTACATTGGCTATGGTTAAAGAACAGGGTAGAGACTTGAATTTGGGGCACCTTTTAAGTCCTGTTACTGGCTCTGTATCCATAGAGCTGCGGACAGTTCTAAGATGAAAATTAAATATCTTTTTTTTTTTTTAGAATAAGTGCATTCTTGATCAGTTACATAAGATATGAAATTCTATTTTTTCCCTTGGATTGTATTATAAATTAGAAATATGTTACTTTGGAAATGTTTGAGAAATAAATCATTTTTAACAACCCAGTCAATGTCTCAATATATATGTTTTTAAATAAAAAAGTTTATTTATTTTAGTTTTTTGTTTTGTTTATTTTCCACTGAGCATGTGTGCTTGCCAGAGAGAGACAAAGGAAGGGACAGTGAAAAATCACTTTCCAGGGGGGAATAGCCATGCCACAATCCCTGCTTCTCCATTATCCTCCTGGGATTTTAGACATGCAGTCACCCTGTGTGAGTCCAAGTTGCCAGGTCCGCCGGGACTCATACCACAGTCAGCCATGTGAGAATCTAGCACCTTAACCACCATAACATCTGCTACCCCCAAAAGAAGTTTTGTATAATATTGCTCAAAATCATTTATTTAATTGTATACAAAATAACTTCTGCCTTTATTAAGGTTTAGAGGAAAATAAGAATTAAAATGAAAAATAGATGTGAAAGAAAAAATTTACTCAGCTATAAATGTTTATCTCCTCAATATATGTTCATTAAGTAATTGATAGGTACTAAATTCTTTGGAATCCAAAATCGAAGTTTGGCCCATGCCTTTGATTCTTTCATAACCCAACAATAATGTCATATAAGCAAACACATTATGATGTGCTAAGCAGTAGAGGACCGAGACTGTTGGGGAACTACAACGGGAGACAATAACAGCTTTCACAGAAAAGTGCTCTCTGATTAGGATTTTGAAGGCTGAGTAAGAGTTTTTATAGTTGTGGGGAATAGCACACACTCTGGAACTGAACGTCCTAGTTTTAAATCCTGGCATTACTTCTTGTGTGACCTGAGAAAATGACTTTTTTTTTTTTTTGAGAGGTTTTTCGCTATAGGGCGCGTGCGCTCGCCAGCCAGACAGAGAGAGACATAGAGACAGAAAGCGAGAAATCACCCCCCAGGGGGGATGGTCACGCCGCAATCCCTTCTCCTCCATTCTCCTCTCAGGATCTTGGGCACGTACACACACGCGCCCGGCGTGAGTTTTAAGCCACCAGGTCTGGGACGCGAACCGCAGTTGACTATGTGGGAACCAGCATTACGCTAACTGCTGGTTCCCGAAAATGACTTCTTTCATTTCCTCATCTGTAGAACTGGCTTGTTATTGTAGGTATCAGAGTCTATTATGAAGAGTTAATACCTGTAAAGAACTGAGAACAGTACACTGAACATGGTCAGGGCTCTGTACATGTGCTGTTGTTACTCTAGTAGGTTGTCAGGAAAAGTCATGACGTATTTTTCTATGCAAAAATGTGTTATGACTTTACCAATGATGCAATAGCATGAAGAATGAGAGGAATGTTGCCACAAGCAGAAGCAACAGCAAGCTACATTTTTTATTCTGTAAAAAAATCAAAATGCTGCCTAGTTAATGGCTTTTACAAATGAGCAATTTAACGCAAGATGTAGAAAAGAAATGGAAAGAGTTGGACTATTCAGAACAGAGCCACGGAGGCCCTGATTGATGAGGAGAGGGAGAAGTTACCATGCATCAAGTTTACTTCAGATTGTTACATAGTAGTTACCTACTGCACACAGGAGAATAGGTAGTGAAATAGTGGCACTTGAACAGTGAAACCCACTGACTGCAACACACAACTATGGAGGCACTAAGAGACAAATATGCAAATTACTGCATTAGCTTAAGGCACAGTAGCACTCCCAACCTGTTGAAAGGATCTCCTTTCTCTTATTATTTTTTTAGAATTATTTTAAGTTTATTTATTCATTTATTTATTCATTTATTTTAATTTGACCAGAGAGGGACAGAAAGAGAGAGAAAGTGAGAAAGCAAGCCACCAGGTCTAGGACTTGAACCACAGTCAGCCATGTAGGAATCCAGTGCTCTTAACCACCATGCCACTTGCCGGCCCCTCTCTGCATGTGCTGTTGTTACTCTAGTAGGTTGTCAGGAAAAGTCATGACGTATTTTTCTATGCAAAAATGTGTTATGACTTTACCAATGATGCAATAGCATGAAGAATGAGAGGAATGTTGCCACAAGCAGAAGCAACAGCAAGCTACATTTTTTATTCTGTAAAAAAATCAAAATGCTGCCTAGTTAATGGCTTTTACAAATGAGCAATTTAACGCAAGATGTAGAAAAGAAATGGAAAGAGTTGGACTATTCAGAACAGAGCCACGGAGGCCCTGATTGATGAGGAGAGGGAGAAGTTACCATGCATCAAGTTTACTTCAGATTGTTACATAGTAGTTACCTACTGCACACAGGAGAATAGGTAGTGAAATAGTGGCACTTGAACAGTGGAACCCACTGACTGCAACACACAACTATGGAGGCACTAAGAGACAAATATGCAAATTACTGCATTAGCTTAAGGCACAGTAGCACTCCCAACCTGTTGAAAGGATCTCCTTTCTCTTATTATTTTTTTAGAATTATTTTAAGTTTATTTATTCATTTATTTATTCATTTATTTTAATTTGACCAGAGAGGGACAGAAAGAGAGAGAAAGTGAGAAAGCAAGCCACCAGGTCTAGGACTTGAACCACAGTCAGCCATGTAGGAATCCAGTGCTCTTAACCACCATGCCACTTGCCGGCCCCTCTCTGATTATTTTTAAAAGAGATATTTATGCATTGGTAACAGACATATTTAAAGGCACCAAGTCAAGGAATCTATGCAAGATAATCCATTAAAATTATGGAAGAGATCACTTGCTGAAAATAAGTCAGTTGGCCAGTGTCTTAGTCTATTTTTGCATTGCTAACAGAAATAACCTGAGATGTGGTGATTTATTATAGAAATTGGGGTGACTGGAAAGCCTAAAGGCCTAGGCCTAATGTAGGCCAGACTACAACATGGCCAACGGAAGCACAGAGAATGACAATAGAGAGAGTGGTCAGTTTCCTCTCTATTTCTTTCTTATAGCAACCATCTCTCACAAGAGCTAACCTCTTCTCACGAGATTCAAAACATTGAGTATGACAAGACATCATTAATCTATTCAAGAGAGTGTTACCTCCATGATGCAATCACCACGAACCAATCACTGCCCCCTAGGCCTTACCACATCCCCAAGTCAAATTCCTAAGTGTTTAATTTTGGGGACAAACTATGATCCAAGACTTAATATCCAATAAAGGGTTACTTATTAAGTTCTCAAAGTCAGGGGACCTGCCTGTAGTGTAATGGTTATGTCACTGGCCTCCCACGTAGTCAACTGTAGTTTCAAGTCCCAGACCTGGTGGCTTAAAACTCAGGCTGGGCATGTGTGCCATAGGAACTTAAGATCCTGAGAGTAGAATGGAGGAGAAAGGATTGCAGATTGTAGTGTGGCCATCCCCTGGGGGGTGATTTTTCGCTTTCTGTCTCTGTCTCTTTGGTGAGCGCACATGCTAAAATCTCTCAAAAAAAAAAAAATCTCTAAGTCAGGATGAGAAAAACCTATAATGGAGAATTATATGAAATCAAAACAGAGAACAGAACCAAAAACGGAACATGCCATCTGCCTCCTTTTCCCATGCGTTTAAGTAATCACTGAAGTAGCAAAATTTGGAATCCATTGATTTCACAATTAACACAGATAAGGGGAGCAAGCCTTTCTGAAATCCTGACTTGCACAGGCACATTGTGATTGTTTTGGTAATCAGTTCCCTATCTAACAAATTTTGCTAGGGTGATTTGTTTTGTATATTAAGTTTATGTTTAATCAGACGTGGCTATGTTTGTTTCTTTTCTCTGTGACATAGGAAATCAAGGAGAAATTGGATTCCAGTCACAAAAGAGACATAGAAGGCATGGGAGTTCCAGAAATCAAGTATGGAGATTCCGTCTGCTTTGTCCAGCACATAGCCAGTGGTCTATGGGTAACTTACAAAGCACAGGATGCCAAAACATCCCGCCTGGGACCTCTGAAGAGAAAGGTGCGAGTCTGTCCTGGATTCCTTTCCACAGAATTGGCAGTAGCTCCAGGCAGTCAGCATGATTCTGCCAACCAAGGGGCCGTGGTTACATGTCACTCCTTTTTGTTCTGAAGGGTCATTCTGTGACAGTGTGTAGCACATCAGCCTCATTTGGTTACTTTGACCCCAGAGACAATGACTAAAAAACAAAAGCAAAGAAAAAAACCAAGTTTAGGGAAAACCTGTGGAAAGGGGTGGGATGTGTTCAGGGCACGCCAAAACCCGCTCTAAATGACTTCCGTTGGTTTGCTGCTTTGGGATTTAGCTCCATCATTGCTCCCTTCATTAAGTGGATAGCTGAGTTATTGTGTAATTTCATGATACAGACTCGGAGTAGAAACTCTCCAGAAGAAATGCAGATTGCATAATAATAAGCCCAGAGAAATCAACCTGTGGAAAGGAGAGATGCCAGGGACTCCTGCTATATCCCCAGATCTCAGTGGACCCTCATGGCCTGCTGCAGGAGGGGCCTAGCCTGGATGTGTGAAGCATCTTTTTACCAGAAAGTCAACTGGCATAATAATGTTCATAATAATAAAGGAATCAGAATAGATGCCAAGGGTGTTAGACTTTTTTCCTTGGAAAACGTGTACAAAGTATAGGTTTAAAGAGTCAAGGAGTCCCGAAATAAGATTCTGTACACTATAGTTTAGATAGATCAGTACACTATAGTTTAGATAGATCAGTTTAATGTGAAAATAATGGAAAGATTCTCAGCATGCTGGTCATTGTAAAAAGAGATATTGGAAGTAAATAATAAGATAATGCTTTCCTTTTTTATTTATTTATTTTTTTTTAAAAAAAAAAAAAGGCTTTTGCCATAGGGTGCATGCCCTTGCCATGCCTGACAGACAGAGACAGAGGGAAAGTGAGAAGTCACTTTCAGGGAGGATGGCCAATCCACAGTTCCTTCTCCATTCTCCTCTGAGTATTTTTTGGGACAATGATTTTGGGAAAATCACTTGGAGTGATTTTTAAGCCTCCAGGCCCAGGACTTGAACCATGGGCAAATATGTGGGAGTCGAACACCTTAACCACCTTACCACTTACTAAGGCCCTCTTTGTTTTGCGTTAAGCAAAACATACCAGGAAAATATACAAACGATGCAAAATAAAATTATCAAAGGGAGACAGAAAGCAGAATAAAAGGCCACATGAACTAGCTTGTAGGGACCTACACCTTACTATGAGAACAATGAGAAAGGCAAGATTTAAAAACAACACACTAGAATGGTTCAAGAACCTAAGTACCCAGGACATGAGTGCTAAAGATGGTATATAGCGCACAAATGCACTGAGGTGAACCTGCCCATTGTCTCCATTTCTCCCCTCAGTACACTTGCTGATTTGCAGAATTAGGGAATGAAGTATTCTGTTAGCTCCATGATGCTGAAGAGACAGACTAGAAACACGGTCAGCCATGGTTTCTGGGACTTCCACATTGGAATGACTGTGAAAAATACAGTAGGTTTGGGGACCAACAGTTGGCATAATGGCAATGTTGCTGGACTCCCATGTAGTCGACCGTGGTTCGAGTCCCGGACCCGATGGATTAAATTCACGCCGGACACGTGTGTGTGCGTGCCCAAGATCCCAAGAGGAGAATGGAGGAGAAGGGATTGCAGCATGGCCATCCTCCCTGGGGGGATGATTTTTCACTTTCTGTCTCTCTGTTTCTCTCTGTCTTTCTGGCGAGTGCATGCGCCCTATAGCATAAACCTCCCCCCCCAAAAAAAAAATATTCAGTACGTTTTCAGTTGAGCCCCAGAAGGGCTAAATCCCAGGAGTGAGGGCTCCTCCCTGGGATTAAGGGAGAATAGAATAGAGGACCCAAACCTTTGCTCTGCTCTACCAGCCTAGGAGAAGACAGTTGCATTCTCTGTAGGATAGGGTAATATCTAGTGCCGCTACAGTTTTTCAAACCTACTAAGGCAATAATGTCTGGAGGGAGAGGAATTTGTACATCTAGGCTGTGAGTTTGCAGGAAGGTGATATACTCCGAGGACTCTGTCGACATGGAGAGATCTCAGTTTGCGTTATTGATTGATGGGTTTGTCCCTGCCTTTTTCTTCCAGGACAAGTAGCCCTTTGGCTAAATTAACTGTTAGAATGTCCCTGTGAACTTGGGAGGTGCTGTCAGAATCTCTCAAAACAATGTCCTAACGTTCAGCCTCTGACAGCACAGGTGAAATTCTCCCTCTAAAAAACTCAAAGGCTGTTCAAATTCGCATTAAGTGTTTTATGAAACGAACCCAATAGAAACCTGAAAAACCAATGGAGAATAAGCACAATGGAGAAAAACCTGATGAATGGTAACTCACTGTAAAGACACACACCCCTTCCTCATTTCCCTCTTGGGCTTCTGTCTGCTCCTGGGTTGTGAGATTTCTTCAGGACAAAAAAGGACCTTAGGAACGGCTGCTGAGATCAATAGGACACATAATAACAACATCCTAACAACTGCACTTTCCCCAGTTCTCATTACTTTCTTTTTTGGCTGGCTAGTTTTGAATGTGTTATCTGAACAGCAAAACCTAAGAAATTTGGTCTTTAGGGACCAGTAATCTGGGACGGATGCCAGAGTAAACGTAGTGGCACTATATTGCTAAATCAAAATGCAACATGGTTAACCAGTTGCTGGGAAGTTCTGACAAAGTACTATTTTCTAATAGTTGGTGAATCCCATGGTAAAGGCATCCTTTGCTAACATTTATGTTGTAAGTAGGTTACAACCTGTTTTTTTTTTCTTAAAAGAACATCAACTTTTACAAGCCTATATTCTAATTCCTATGTGAATATAAGCCTTCTAAAGAAAAATAAGAGATTTTCATGTGAATACAAAAATAGGTTTATGCTAAAAATAAGAACAGGGACCAGCAGTTGGCATAATGGCTATGTCACTGGACTCCCATGTAGTTGACAGTGGTTCAAATCCCAGACCCGACAGCTTAAACTCATGCCTGGGCGCATGTGCGTGCTTGCAAGATCCCAAGAGGAGAATGGAGGAGAAGTCATTGTGACGTGGCCATCCCCACCTGAGATATCTGGCTTTCTGTCTCTCTCTATCTTTCTGGCAAGCGCATGCACCCTATAGCAAGAATCTCAAAAAAAAAAAAAAAAAAGAAAAAGAAAGAAAGAAAGAAAAGAAAAGAAAGAAAGAAAAAAATAACAGAGAAGAAAAATTGTCATCGTACAGATAGTTCATTCACATTGACATATAGACTGAGTTCCAAGATCTACAAATGGTCTCTCTTCACTTACTTCCCTCCCATGACTGAGACCATGAATCAAGATTTGACCCTGACTTGAACTAACTGGGGTCAACCCATCTCACTTAACATCTGCATATACTTGGTTCTTTTAAGGGAAAGTCTACTGCTCTCATGCCAAAAATTGCTAGCCCCACCCCAAAACTATATCATGTCTCTAATGATTGATAAGTATGCTTAGCTTCTAGAAAACTGATCTAAGGTCTGTAATATACTATCTCTTATGACAAACAGTCATTCCACACCTGTTCTAGAAACCGTGACAGTTGGTTAGCTTGTAAGTCATCTAATCCTCCAAGCCCTCTAAGATTGCAATTGGTAAAATTGAAGTAAAGAGAGGACTGGCGACTTGCCCGAAGTCATGGAGCTGCTAAGTGGCATGGCGTAAATTAGGACTAAGGTGTGTTGATATCAGTGTCAATCCTTTCAGACCCCCTCTCTGGCCTGCATGAGAAGCAAGCTACTATTTGGGGCTGCTTTCCCCAGTTAAACAGGGAACTAACCTCGTGCAGCTGTGCTTCAGTGGAGAAATCCAAGCTTGGATCCCCCACATCCCCATAGAGGATGTGGCTTTAAAATGTCTGTCTTCTTCCCATATTTATTCTCTGAAGGCAAAAACTAAACAAAGTGACTTTTCCCATCTCTAAGGATAAGGTTCTGTATTCATTTTATGAGAAAAATCTATTACAAAGTATGTTTTCACTCTTCCAACTTGGTCATCCAGGTCCAAAGAATTTATTGTAACTCATGCTATGGTGGCGCATAAAATTTCATTTTCATCAAAGCTCTGTGTCTCAGGAGTGATTTGTATGTCAGTTATAGGGCATGTGAGTGACATAACTATGTTAGCGTCCCATTTTCAGAATGCACTCCGGGGAGCTTGGTTGGGGAATGGAAAAAGAGGGATGAGGGAAATACTCAGGAATACTCCGACTGCCCTGCTACGGAGTGATGTGTAACCTGGACCGGCTGCCCCTTTTCCTGCGGGTAGGTCATACTCCATCAGGAAGGTCACATGGATGATGGATTGACGCTGCAGCGATGCCAGCGGGAGGAGTCCCAGGCTGCTCGGATCATCCGGAACACAACAGCCTTATTCAGCCAATTTATCAGGTAGGTTAGTCCCTTCCCTTTCTCTCCCTGGCAGTGGTTACTCTCTGGCCTTCCAACTCTACCCACCCCCTTCCTTCTAATACTGCAGGAGTTTTCAGGAAATAATGAAATGCCAGCTATTTCCCAGAAACAGTGTGGGCTGAACCTTCCCAGATAGGTGACCTTGTACCAGCTTCACCGGTACCTTAACGAATGCCCAAGCCCCGTTGGTTATTCCTGTTCATATGATTAACATTCCAGGTCTTTACACAAAAATTAATTATAGATCCCTTATGTATTAGTGTATCAAGAGAGAATGAGAGGAGAAACTGATCCACTCCCTGTGCAATTTAGAAAGTGTTTCTACATCACTCACAATTGTTGCTCTGGTTTAGATCAAAGTAGATTTGCACTGGAAGCCTTGGGTTACCCAACTACGGTGGGGATTGAAATAGGGAAGAGAACTGAACTGCCTGCTTGGATCGTAATCCCTCCAGCCTAAACAGTGCTGCCAAAACAGAACCCCATGGATTGTTTCCGGGAATTACCATGAGGAATTGATGCTGTTGTAAACAGAGCAGTGTTCCAGGCCATTCTTCTCTTAAAGGAAAATACTTCTAAAGCCAAGAGGGTTTAAATTGCATGTGTGAATTTGCATGAAATGAGAACTTTTTAAATGTCTTTTGTTGTTAAAACACTGCAATTCAAGGGATGTATATTAGGATATAGGCTAAGCTGCTGCTGCATTTCAGAATAAACTTTTACATCTCTCTTAAGTAATAATATAGAGTGGGCAGGTGGTTTAGGGAAAGGAGGCAGTCCAGCTACTGGGGCTCAAATCTCTCTGTCTTGTGGCTTTGACATGTCCTACCACTCCTTGTGTGTCCCTGGCCCAGTGCATTAGCATTGCCTGCAAACGTATCTTAAAAAAATGCAAATTTTCAGGTTTCACCTGGAGCTACAGAATCAGACGCTGTACGAGTACAACCCAGTGAAGCACATTTTTATAAAGAATTATTTTATTTCTATTTATGTATTTATTTAAAAATGTGACCAGAGAGGGATGAGGGGTGGGGGCAGTGAGAAAATATGCCACCAGGTCTAAGACTTAAACCACAGTCATGTGGGAGTCCAATGCTTTTAACCACCACGCTACCTGATGACTCCAGTAAAGTACATTTATGAGCCCTCCAAGTAATGCCAATCATGCTTAAGTTTAAAAATCACTACCCTGGAATAGAGATCTTAACCTTCCTCACATGTTAGATTCACCTGGGAGGATTTAACATGTGATGTGCAGGCTGCAGCTCAGACCACGTGCATAAGAATTTCTGGAGGGACCAGCAGTTAGTGTAATGGCTATGTCGCTGGACTCCCATGTAGTCGACTGCATTTCGAGTCCTGGACCGGATAGATTAAACTCAGGCAAGGTGCATGCGTGCGTGTTTGTGTGTGTGTTTGTGTGTGTGTGTGTGTGTGCGTGTGCCCAAGATCCCGAGAGGAGAATGGAGGAGAAGGAATTGCGGCATGGCCATCCTCCCAGAGGGTAATTTCTTGCTTTCTGTCTCTCTCTCTCTCTCTGCCTGGCAAGCACATGCACCCTATAGCAAAAAAAAAACTCTCAAAAAAAAAAAAAAATTCTGGAGGTAGTTCCAAATATAGTTTTCTGTATTTTGTTAAAACCCCTAGGTGATTCTGAAATTCTATCACAGTTTAAGAGTCGCTGTCCTGGTATGCTTTCTTCATTTACATAGTCAAAACTTGCTTACTTGCATGATGTCTGAGGTCTGTCCTGCAAAAAAGAGGAAGAAAGAGAAAGTGGAGTAGATCCCTTGACTGCATTCCATCTTGCAGTCATATGGCCAAAGCTCCCTCAGAGAGGGAGGCTGAGAAATATATCTTCAATTAGTCAGCTGTGACCCAGTACAACTAAGAGTTTCTGTTACTAAATTAAGAGAAAGGAAAGTGGGTAATAGAGGTATTACTGCCCTATGATAGGACTGAAGCCTGCAAGTCAATGAGCCTTTGTCAGCTTTTGGCCATTTCCCATGATCCCTGAGTAAAATATTTTCTTGTCTTTCTGTCTCATTACTTCTATAACTCACTCTCCATCTTCAAAGAAAGGCCGTAAGAATGAATAGTTTGGTATAGGCAGAAAAAGACAGCTGCATTCACATGTGAATTTTTCATGTAGTCTTCACTAGCACCAAAGTTTTCACCGTCTAGGCGGGTGATTTATTTATCTGGCCTCCAATTCTCTTTGACCTTAAATTCTTTATAAAAGACAGTGGCCCCTACCTTGCATATGCTTAATTAATTAATTAATTTACAATGGATTAAAGACCTAAATGTGAGACCTAAAACTATGAAACACAGAAGATAACAAAGGTGTACATTTTTAGAACTTGGATTGGGCAGTAGTTTCTTAAATATGCCAAAAGTAAAAGCAATAAAAGAAAAATGTTAATTGGACAACACCAAAATTAAAAACTCTTTTTCACTGCAAAGGGTGCTATCAAGTAAGTGATAAGACAACCGATATAATGGATCTGAACAGATATTTCTCCAAAGAAGATATAAAAATGGCCAAAACCCGGGAATTACCATGAGGAATTGATGCTGTTGTAAACAGAGCAGTGTTCCAGGCCATTCTTCTCTTAAAGGAAAATACTTCTAAAGCCAAGAGGGTTTAAATTGCATGTGTGAATTTGCATGAAATGAGAACTTTTTAAATGTCTTTTGTTGTTAAAACACTGCAATTCAAGGGATGTATATTAGGATATAGGCTAAGCTGCTGCTGCATTTCAGAATAAACTTTTACATCTCTCTTAAGTAATAATATAGAGTGGGCAGGTGGTTTAGGGAAAGGAGGCAGTCCAGCTACTGGGGCTCAAATCTCTCTGTCTTGTGGCTTTGACATGTCCTACCACTCCTTGTGTGTCCCTGGCCCAGTGCATTAGCATTGCCTGCAAACGTATCTTAAAAAAATGCAAATTTTCAGGTTTCACCTGGAGCTACAGAATCAGACGCTGTACGAGTACAACCCAGTGAAGCACATTTTTATAAAGAATTATTTTATTTCTATTTATGTATTTATTTAAAAATGTGACCAGAGAGGGATGAGGGGTGGGGGCAGTGAGAAAATATGCCACCAGGTCTAAGACTTAAACCACAGTCATGTGGGAGTCCAATGCTTTTAACCACCACGCTACCTGATGACTCCAGTAAAGTACATTTATGAGCCCTCCAAGTAATGCCAATCATGCTTAAGTTTAAAAATCACTACCCTGGAATAGAGATCTTAACCTTCCTCACATGTTAGATTCACCTGGGAGGATTTAACATGTGATGTGCAGGCTGCAGCTCAGACCACGTGCATAAGAATTTCTGGAGGGACCAGCAGTTAGTGTAATGGCTATGTCGCTGGACTCCCATGTAGTCGACTGCATTTCGAGTCCTGGACCGGATAGATTAAACTCAGGCAAGGTGCATGCGTGCGTGTTTGTGTGTGTGTTTGTGTGTGTGTGTGCGTGTGCCCAAGATCCCGAGAGGAGAATGGAGGAGAAGGAATTGCGGCATGGCCATCCTCCCAGAGGGTAATTTCTTGCTTTCTGTCTCTCTCTCTCTCTCTGCCTGGCAAGCACATGCACCCTATAGCAAAAAAAAAACTCTCAAAAAAAAAAAAAAATTCTGGAGGTAGTTCCAAATATAGTTTTCTGTATTTTGTTAAAACCCCTAGGTGATTCTGAAATTCTATCACAGTTTAAGAGTCGCTGTCCTGGTATGCTTTCTTCATTTACATAGTCAAAACTTGCTTACTTGCATGATGTCTGAGGTCTGTCCTGCAAAAAAGAGGAAGAAAGAGAAAGTGGAGTAGATCCCTTGACTGCATTCCATCTTGCAGTCATATGGCCAAAGCTCCCTCAGAGAGGGAGGCTGAGAAATATATCTTCAATTAGTCAGCTGTGACCCAGTACAACTAAGAGTTTCTGTTACTAAATTAAGAGAAAGGAAAGTGGGTAATAGAGGTATTACTGCCCTATGATAGGACTGAAGCCTGCAAGTCAATGAGCCTTTGTCAGCTTTTGGCCATTTCCCATGATCCCTGAGTAAAATATTTTCTTGTCTTTCTGTCTCATTACTTCTATAACTCACTCTCCATCTTCAAAGAAAGGCCGTAAGAATGAATAGTTTGGTATAGGCAGAAAAAGACAGCTGCATTCACATGTGAATTTTTCATGTAGTCTTCACTAGCACCAAAGTTTTCACCGTCTAGGCGGGTGATTTATTTATCTGGCCTCCAATTCTCTTTGACCTTAAATTCTTTATAAAAGACAGTGGCCCCTACCTTGCATATGCTTAATTAATTAATTAATTTACAATGGATTAAAGACCTAAATGTGAGACCTAAAACTATGAAACACAGAAGATAACAAAGGTGTACATTTTTAGAACTTGGATTGGGCAGTAGTTTCTTAAATATGCCAAAAGTAAAAGCAATAAAAGAAAAATGTTAATTGGACAACACCAAAATTAAAAACTCTTTTTCACTGCAAAGGGTGCTATCAAGTAAGTGATAAGACAACCGATATAATGGATCTGAACAGATATTTCTCCAAAGAAGATATAAAAATGGCCAAAACAGCACAGTAAAAGAAGCTCAGCATCATTAGCTACCAGGAAAATGACTACCCAAAACCACAATGAGATCACATTATACCAGTGTGATGGCTGTAATCATGAAGATTGTTCATAACAGTCTGGGAGAGGATGTAGAGAAATGGAAGCCTTCATGCACTGCTGGTGGGAATGTAAAATGTGGCAGCCACATGGGAGCATGGTCTCGAAGTTCCTCAGAAAGTTAAACACAGAGTTACCAGATGACCCATTAGTTGCAGTCCTAGATAGATGTACCAGGGGGAGAAAAACATATGCCCACACAAATATTCAGAGCAGCATCATTCATAGTATCCAAAAAGAAACAACTGGATGTCCATCAGCTGATGAGTGGATAAATAAAA